TAATACTGTCCATTCATCATTCTCTCGAAACTTAGATTTTTGAAGGTTTCACTTCTAACACGTGTGATCTGCACACATGATTTTTTTTACGATTTCATGGTTTTCAGATGGACTTATCGAACCRCCGATTAGATCAACGTRACTATMGACGTTTGCTACCAAAAAMAAAAAAAMAAAAATCAACTTTGAAAAATTTGGAACTTSCACCAGATTTTGAAAATCTCGTCCAAGAAATTATTGGATTTCAAATTTTCCCGGGGCATACGAAAATTTTCCGGCGCGTACGATAATTTTACGCCCCTGTGTCGATCAGACGAACTAAACTCTCTGGGATCACTGGGTTTAGCAGTCAGTAATTCTTTGTATATTTGTATCTCTGTCAATTATTAGTTATATTTTATTTTTGTGTATCCATTATTATTTACTTTAATATATATCCTTGTWACTTATTTATTATTATATTATATATATTCATCATSTTATTATTTCTTTCTCATTTTCTATAACACCCCACAAAAAAAATTGTGTACAATTGTCGTATAAATTGGATGCAAATTACAAAATAAAATCTTAAATCCTAGTATGAAAAACCGTATTTTTAGAAAAACGCGTTTAACATTTTTGTTTAAAATAGCCCGAAATTGGTCATTTAATCAACAACGATTTGATATTAAAAAAAATGTTTAAATTAAAGCAGGAAATTTAATTTAGTTACGACTGTCTGATATTTCTGGGAAGTTCAAATGAACGACAAAATTTTGGACAACAAAAAACACGTTACGATTTGGTGAGAGAAAGAGAGAGAGATGGTGGGGGGGGGGGTAAGTTTTAATTATTAAACAAACAATTATTATTAATAAATTATATTTATTCAACTTTTACCTTATATATAACATCTCCTGTATAACGAATTAAATCAAAAGCTCCAGCAGAATTCATTTATATTCGCTATAAATTCATCAAACAAAAGTAGATCAAAATTGGTGAGGACCACTCCTTGAATGATTAAAAGATTGCTTCGATAATTAAAATTTATTAATTAAAGAGATAGTGTCTGTAAAGGATAATAATTTATCATTATTTYAGGTAAACGTAGCTGTTGACTTTTAAGTGAACATAAATATGTCTTTATTACCAATAAAAAGGATTAGAAATGCAAGTTTTGGTTAATTGCAAAACAAAAATTTAAGAAATGATAGCGATCATGAAAATATCTATAATTTTAATCGAAAAAGTRTTATTACAATTCCTGAAGATAAACGAATTATACATTTTTTTAATTGGAGAGTTATGTTAAATGAAGAGTATCACTTGATTATTACTGGAACCTCAGATTGGTAATTTRAACAAATTAATTTATTTTAAAATTAAAATTTGTAATTTCTTTCTTATTTATCTTTTTTTTATATTTATTTTACATAATGGAAACTTTATATATAGTCAACCCATAAATAAAAGATTGACTGCCACAAAAGTCGAATCAATGTTTAATAACATATATCATCTCAATGGAAAACTTGCAGATTGTTGGAAGGGTAAGATTCGAAAACTTTTTGAACATTTTTGGCTAAAATGATAATTTCATTTTAATAGATGTTATTGTTTTATTTTAGAATAACCGATTTTTATTCGATTTAAATTTCAAAATGGTTTTCCTGAGGATTGGAAAAGTGTAACAGATTCTTGGAAAGTATTGGTTAAGCGAGGTTTCTACAATGATTTTCATCAGTATACATTGAAATGTATGAAAAAAGCACGAACACAAAATGCCTTTGAATTCAAAGTACATTTTTGTTCTTTTTGTCGTCAAAAATGCAATAGCTTGATTCTAGAAGTTAAGAACAATAGTAGTATATAAAATAAAACTTATCTACCAAATTCAACAGACTTACCTTCTTCTAATGTAATACAAAATAAATATAATATCAATAATAATAATTTAGATAAGGAAAATCTAACAAAATATAAAAATATAAATGATAATCAATCGAGTCATTTTCAAAAAAAAAAAAAAGTAACATTTCAGAAGATAAACAGAATGCAATTGTTACGAATCTGTTAAACAAAGATGTGCCTATAAAACATATTTTAAAATTATTAGAAATTTTGAATTTTGATAAAAATATTTTGTTGTCTAAACTAGAATGTAATGTTGCTAATAGCACCCAAGTACAAAATAACGAAATAACAAATATCTATGGAAGATCTAATGATGTGCCGCTACTAACAAAATCATCTAATTGCACTAGGAGCAATGTAGATAAATCTCATAGAACTTTAAAGATAGCAGTAAGAGAAGAACAAAATACTAACAACAGGTTAAAAGAGATAAATGATATGCCTTTACAACGATCAGATAAAGGAAATGCTGAAAGATTTGAAAGTAATGCTTATGCGGATAAACCTAGGATCGTATCTGACATGATATTGTCAAATAGAAAAGTATTAGTGAAACGGTGTCAAAATCAGCAAGGAAGAGAAAAACTATTTTGTAATCTTATTTCTACAAGTTCTAGAGAATTCGAAGATTTCTCAGAATTTGTAGCAAATACAAACGAGAAAAATGAGGAAAATATGAAGTATCATACTAAAAGATTCAATAAAAGAAAARGTGATAGTTCTTCTAATAATTCTAATTCTAGCATAGAGGAATCAAAACGGAAAAAACATGGGAATAAAACAGAGGTGGTAGTACACAATTTAGAAATACCACAAATAACAAAAAGATTTGTTGATACGAATCAGCCTGATACAATCAAAGAAGTTAGTAAAARTAGTACCAGTAATAACAATAATCAAATAATATCGGAACTAAAGCAGGACATTACATCAGAGAATTTGGGCATTGTAAAAAGTCCTATTTTGGAAAATTACTATGATACGAATGCGAATAAAAATATAGTTAATGATAAATTAGTGCTTAGAACTGTTTTATATAATACGAAAGATAGTTATGAAAATGATCATCAATTAATATCCGATAAAGAGATTAGAAGTGATAATAAAATTTATGAAAGTAAATATAATAAAAATGAAAGCTTTCCAATTGCAAAAGGTAATGATATTCAAACTGAATTCAATAAAGATCTATCTTTAATAGAATTAAAGAAACCTAAATTATTATCTAACTGGATACCACGAGTTATATTTGATTCTTCTTTAACTGATGGGTTCAGCTTGGTTTTTGAAGGACAATTGGTCAAGTATGTAGGGATTTTAAGGCATTTCATCTTATTAATGGATACACGACTTATATTATTTTCATTTATGTAGCGATGTTGGCCATGTAATTAATAAAAAGTTCAAAAYTCATCCCATTCATGAACGATTATCCTCAACATTAATCAAAGATATAAACCAAGATATTTATCAACTTGTTGGAAAATCGCATAATTCTAAAAACGGTAATATTAAAGACATTTAAAGTTATGATTGTACTTACGCTTTTACATATAATGTTACAAATTTATA